AAGTGGTTAAGACACCAATGAGGATGCTTATACCCCACACTGAAGTGCCTGGGTTCAAGTCCCAGCTCCATTTCAGCTTCCAGCTCCCTGCTAACGTGCACCTGGAGAGGTGACGGTGGTGGCTCCAGCAGTGGCTTCCCCACCATCCATGTGGAGTTTCCAGTTCCTGGCTCCTGGGTGCTGCAGGTATCTGGGAAGTGAATCAGTGGATGGAACATCTTTCTCTGTCTCTCTCCATCTCGCTGACATTCTAATAAGACAACATCAATAAAATTTAAGAAATATCACTCTTTTAAAAAAGAAAATATTCTTCCTTGTAACAATATCTCTGTTACACACATGAGCGGGGGGGTGGGGGCGGGAACCCCACAGTGGAGCAGGCAGACAGGAGGAAGCTTGTATCCCAACCCTGAAGATTCCTAGATCCTCACCAAGGACTATCAGTACGAGCTCTGAGGACTACATCCCAACAGCCAAGGAGACCACGGGGAATTGGAGTGCCTTCGGAGGCCGAGAACTCTGAGGTCACCCACCTCCATTTGGATCTCCCACATGGGATGGCAGAAGCCCATACCCTGCCTTGCAGGATCCAAGGTCATCGGAACGACAGCCAGGAGCACTGAGCAGTCCGCAGAAACAAAACAGTAAACTTTCTTCAGGACTAGGGAGAGGAGCTTTCTCTGGTTCTTGCCTGGTGCCGACTTTGGGTCCCCACCCTCTCTCGTAATGACCATCAGGATCACTCCAGAAGCTCCCCAAAACAAACTAACAAATAATCAAATAAACAAACCAAAAAAAACCCCCTAGAATAGATAGAGAACAACAAGGAAAGCTTAGAAACAGGAAACGGGCGGTGGGGATGCACTTATAACTCACTGGGTGGGACACAAAGATTAGTTACTCCTCACTGGGGTATTGAAGATTTCTCTGCACACACCTCCTAAAACTGTTCACCTAAACTGTTGACATTTGTCTTGTTAGAGTTATAGAGTTAGACTCCCTGAAAAACAGTCAGGTTCTGCAAAATCGTGCTTCAACGCTATGAACTGCTAAATACTAAAATTAAAATAGACATGAGACAGCTGAATAGTAATCTATAGCCATTTTAAGGTGTATAGAACCCGGTTGTATATAAACTAATAATTGTAATGTCAATGTAGAAGTCATAGGATGTGATTCAGAACTTGCACTCTTTTTTTTTCTCTCTTTTAACATGTTGGTTACACAATACCATGTCAACTAATTCCACTACGTTATAAATTGTTACTGATGTAATGCCGGGGTTTTTAATTGATTGGGATGATACTCTGTCGGCTCTACCTTCAGACCAGAGACGGTCTCCCCAAGAAACTGCTGAACTTATCTGGACAATTAGATGCTGGATTCTATGCTTTGTAGATGCTTGCAAGGAAAGAATCTCAACTGAATCTGAACTGTAGTAATGCAACAAGGTGGAAGAATCCACCATGGGGGGGGGGGCAGGTTTTGGGGAGGGAAGGGGGGAATTCCAGAGCCTATAAAACTGTGTCACATAATGCAATGTAATCAATAAAAAAAATTAAAAAAACAAAAATATCTCTGTTACACACACATACACACACACACATATCCCATTAAATGTGTGAGCTTTTTCTCTCACCTAAACAACCTAAAATGCAGGAAAATAAAGTATGAGTTCCCAAGACTCAGGGTTGCATGTTGATTCTAATTTCTCTTTCTCTTTCTTTCTCTCTCTCTCTCCCTCTCTCTCGCAGTATTTTGACTTAAAAGGTAACGAGAATCAATCACTTTTTAAAAGATGCATTTACTTTTACTTGAAACTCAGAAGTACGGAAAGGGATAGACAGAAAGATCTGCTAATTCACTCCCCAACTAGCCCCAGTGGCCAGAGCTGAGCTGATCAAAAGCCAGGAGCCAGGAGCTTATTCTGGGTCTCCCACACAGGTGTAGGATCCCAAGGCTTTGGGCTGTCCTCAACTGCTTTCTCAGGCCACAAGCAGGGAGCTGGGTGGAAAGTGGAGCAGCCGGGACACGAACCAGCACCAATATGGGATGCTGGTGACAGAGTGGAGGAGTAGCATGTCGTGTCACTCACTGCTACATCAGCCCTGAGGATTCATTGTTGACCTGTCTGCCACAAGGTGCTTTTTCCTTTTTTTAATATTAAATTGATAGGAAGCTATTGCTATCAAAAATCCAGGCACTGACATAAGTCAGATCTTTCACCCTCACAAAGAGGTGATTTTGACTACGACTAAGTGACCAAGTAAGACAGATGAGACTTCAAATCCGCACTCTCCTTCATCACAGGCAGGTCAACTTCCAGAAATGAGACTTTGCAGGACAAAGTTTTTCAGAGACAATTGGTACTTCGTCTCTCATGATACTTTCCCAATAAAACACTGAGGATGGTTTCAAATGGATGCCTACTAATAGCTTTCCTTTTGTGCTCTGTTTACTCCTGGATTTTAGAAGTAAAATGGACTTGCCAAGAAAAAAAAAAAAGAAAAGAACATTCTCCAAGCAATTTACCAAATAGCATAGACTAAGACACTAAAATTAGTATCACATGTACGATGGAAATCCCACAAGACGACATAAGGCTGGGATTAGGGGTGTCCCTTCTGTCCTGCAACTGTAGGCGGATCCAGGCAGAGGGGAGTAGAAGAAAGACGCCCTCTAAAACTGGGAGCAATCAGCAGCCTCAAACATCTCCCCAGGACTCTCAAAATGAGTTCCTGGCTTTCCCCACCCCCACGCTTACCAACAGCAGGGACACCGTGCTTCTCTGAGCAGGCCAGGCCAATCGGAAATTCAGACTCCTCCAAAGGTCAGAGCTGTGAATACACTGCTAAAACAAACAAAAGAGTGCAGAAATCAGAAGGAACGGGCAGGGACATGCTTGTGCTGTCAGTAAGTAAATCCTAGCCAGGCTTTTAGGAAGGGTTGGAAGCTGCTTAAAGACAAGACCTAGGGTGTCATTTCCTTCCCCCAGCAAATGTGGGCACCTCATGTTTGCACAATTTCCTCATTTCAAAGGACGTGGAAATAAAACAGGCAATTGGAGGTAGAAGCCTCTATGTGGTCTGTGTTGTACAACTAAAGCCAGCGTAGGAAAGACCAGATTGACAAAGAAAGCATGAACTCTGCCCCATACCCCAGAGGGAGGTGGAGACAGTTCCTGACTTCAAAGCAACAAGTTATGTCAGAGCTAAGGGCCAGACAGAAGCAGGCTGGGCCCAGCTGCCTCTGGAGTAGCAGCTGAAGGATCAGGAGTCTGGGGCAGAAAATCACCGTTTCTGTTCTCCTTAACTGGCCTTCTGGGACAGCCACTGACAACCTAGCAGGTACACACTGTCCAGGTCAAAAGCAGGGCTACTCCAAACAAAAAGGACCTAATGAACTCAAGAAGCGGCACCAGAATCCATAAGGTTCTTAAGAAATTAACAGAACAGTGTCATGCGCAAATCTCATGTGCACCTTGATTCAAATAAACTACTTGAAAAATTACGAGACACAGGGGATAAAGTGAATACCTACCAGATGTTTGTTACTGAAGAACTCATTTTGGGGGTCATTATATGCATTTAGTTATGCGGGGTTTTTTTAAACCTGATTTCATTTCATGGAAATAACACAAAATTTTAAAGAACGAAATGAAGCCCCTAGATGTGCTATGCGGTAATGGGGGCGGGGTGAGGGAGAGACAGATGCAACCAAGGGACCCGGATGCCATGATTTCTTTAAACTGGGCAAGAATTCTCTGCATGGGGTTCATGTACTAGTCTTTTTACTGTGGTACAGCTTTTACTCTCCAACAAGAAAAGTAAAATAATCAAATCAAATAAGCAGGTACACCAGGTAGGAATGGATTGCTAGGTAGCCACACTTCACCTTGAACACTCCTGATGAGTCACTTCCACTCTTGACACCGCCTTGCAGCAGCAGGTGGTCCAGCTTGTCAGGCTGAATCCAAGTGGTTCTGTGCTGATAAAAAGTCTTCCTCAAAACCAGGTTGGTGAGTGCTGCAGTGCTGTAGGTCAAACTGCCACTTAGAATGCCTGTACCCACATCAGAGTGCCTGGGAACAAGTCTCACCTCTACTTCCAATTGAGCTTCCTGCTAATGTGCCTGGGAGGCAGTAGTGGTGGCCAAAGGACCCGGATGGAGTTCCTGGCTCCTGGTTTTAGCCTGGCCAAGTCCTGGCTGTTAAGAACATTTGGGGAGTGGATCAGCAGATATAAGATACTCTCTCTTTCTCTGCTTTACCATTACATGCATCTTTAAGACCTGCAGCCACCCCTCCACTAAGTGATCAAGTAAGAACCAGGCTGAACGATCTTCAGGAACAGCAACTTGGACTGGGCTGAGCAGCTCCCTGTGTGGATGCGCTGGAGAAGCAGCTTTAGTCAGTCAGCATTCCCCATCTGCGAGATGAGATTTGCTGCCTGCCAGTCTGCAGGGTCCTGTTCTGCAGCCCCAGCACTAGCACATGCTTGTCACCAGCAGGAGCAAGAGCCTTGGACCAGGGGGAACCAAGAAGAGGGAGAAGACTAGCAACAAGGTGGAATGTGGATTTCTGGACAGGGGACAGACCCTTCTGCACCTACCTGCTCAAGCATTGCCCAGAACAGGCCCTTTCTAGAAAAGGGAAGGAGCCTGGTGGGCAAGGAGAGACCAGGGCTACACCTCCCACCGAGGAGGTGGGATCCTGGGACCTCAATTAAAGACTTGGCAATAGGGCCCCTCGGGTATCTCCCACCCCAGGTCTCCCCTCTCCATAACCAGCAAGAGGACAAAGAGAATCCTACGTCAACCCAACAGCAAAGAAAAAGAGCCAGAGTTGCATGACTCTGTGCTATCATGCAGATTTACATTCTGTCAGTTTTGTGCCTGGGAAAAGCCTGTGTAGCAGGCATCTTTGCTAAAGCAAACCTCATTCAGTCACTTGGATTGACATATACTGTTTATACTGGCGGTTGGAAAAGAAGCTACTTCACCAAAGTTGCAAGACTTTAATAATTTAACTTGGACAATTTCAGGAATATACATACACACATACATAGACACACACAGGAAATAGTCACAATTTCTTTGGACAGTGTTATTTACATTCTTAAAAACTCCCCCAATGGACTCAAGGCCACAGATGTGAAAATGTCAAGTACAATCGACAAGAGTGAAACAGATGCTGCACTAACCGACAGGACAAGCGCCTGTAGCGACATCAGACCTTTTCAACACTTCTAGGGAATACAATGCCAAAGACGTTACAACAGATACAAATAACCTCAGAAAGACAACTTCACAGTTAATGGTTTCTTTGGTCCTCCGAGTTATGTTTGCTTTTACTTTAAAACACTGAACACAAGTTGAGCACTTAGAAATCTACCTGTGTCTACACATTAAGCAGCCTAATGTCCATACCAGCTTAGATTTGTAAAGAAACTCAAAATTCACCACTGTACTACTGAGACTCCAAATGTAGAAAAATCCAGAACATGGTGGAAGTAGGGAAGAACATAAAATAAAATAAAAACCTCTGCCACCTTGTTCCATCAGGAGCTAAACGGTATGAAATGGGCAGGTAGAACTACCTAGAGTAAACCAACAAAGCAACTGATTCATTTGAAGGAAATGAGATAATTGGAGGGGCATGGAATCACTCACATAAGAGACTTCCTTGTGGACTATCATGTTTACGTTTCTGCGGAGATGCTGGGGTTCTGGCTTTTAATTTGGTTCACGCTGCCCTGAAGAAGAAACTTTCCGATAATCATGAATGAGGCAACGATTTCCCAGATTCAAGTCCTACTCCACCGGCGTGAGATCACACTCCAGACTTGTGACGTGTGTGTGTGTGTGTGTGTGTGTGCATCACAGCGGAAGCCAAGGGGGTGGGGGCGAGTTCCTGGACTCGGGCAATGCCAGAGCAGTAGGCACGGGTCCCTACGCTATGCCCTTGTGTCAGCTTCCACAGACTGAAAATGATGGGCAGCCTGAGGAAGCAGCTGAAACATTTCCTAAGATCAAAAGTTAAACACTTTGAGGCACTCTACATGGAACTTGAAAGAAGCTCGCGGGAGACACATAGAGGTGAAATGACAAAGACCAGCTCTTGGCAGGGGCAAGACTAAGGCTTATAAAAGAATGGCTTTTCATACAAAAAAGGCATTAGCATCTACACTTCCCATGGTGTGACAGTCTCAAAGGCACAGAGAATTCAACGTCTGAATCCCTGTATGTTGACCCAAGATCGCGCCTCATAAGCAATGCCAGGTACAAAATCCCCGTACCCGCATTTACAGAGAAAGAAGGTGGACATGTTCCCTTTTTTTTCTTTCAAACTCACAGTAAAATCAAACACATGGGTCTTCCTCCACCACCATCACCTTCCCTGGGTAACTAGAATTACAACTGGACAGGTTAAATTAAAAAAAAAAAAACATACAAAAATGAAAAATGTCCCTGGTGGCTCAACCAGTAGAATCACCTTTAGACTCTGAATCCACAGCACAGCGCCGCACACTGTGCCAGATTCCTTTGGCACTCCCGGCAGCACAGTTTTTATCCAAGGGTGAAACAGCAGCAGAGCCCTCAGAGTTCTGCCCACACCAGCACTATCAACACAACACACAAACACACCCTCTTCCCCGGCCCCCTCCCATCGTCTCTCTGAACGGTTTTGTGCATATGATTTACATGATTGGCCATTCTCTTTAGTGTTGCCACTAAAAGGTGGCAAGAACAAAGTAGAGGACTCACCCCTTTGTTAATTATTTTATTTGGCTTTCTATAAATAGTCTTTAAATACAATCAGGGATGGGGAACAACCTTCAGCGGCAACGGAGGATACAAAGAACAGAGACGAGACAGACAATGCCACGGGATCCGCACGCCGTGCGGCTCGTGCAGTTCAGCTCCTGATGAGAGTCAGGAATTCTTCCCTGGTCTTTGGATCCTCCCGGAACACACCCAGCATGGTGCTGGTCACAGTTTTGCTGTTCATTTTCTGCACCCCTCGCATTACCATGCACATGTGTCTACAAAACAAGATAGCAAAGTTTGTGTAGGGGATCTCATATAAAAAGCAGATTCCGTGTCAACATCTCATGCAGGTGCTACCTACCACCCTTTTATAAGCTTCTTGGTAGTGAAACTGAACAGTGATGATGTAAAAGCATGGCCCAGACCTAGCCCTTTCTCCTAGGCCCAGACGCCCCTGTCTCTCTTAGAACAAAGGTGTCTTTATCTGCCCTTTATCAAAGGCAATTCACTAAACTCAAAGAAAGACAAACTGATACTACAAAGTTCTAATCACATGGAGTCTCCTATTGTTAGTAGATTAGAACTTTAATGGTGAGTATCTGCTTTCTGGGAAATCCTGAAAGAAATGTAACTATGGTCATTTAACCTCCACAAACCAGCTGGGACCCACCAAACGATCATAAATTCCCTAAGTATCACAGCATTGCTGACCAACCAGGAACCTTTCAGTACATACCTCCCAGCCTCCAATTTCTGTCTATAAGGACCTTCCACCCTGACTACTGGGGGAGCCTGGGGAATTAAGCAATGTGAGGCTATGAAAGGCAGGTACAGACTTGCTGGGCTGCCCCGCTCCTCGCACTGCACATTGCAATAAGGACCTATTTCCTTCCAGCACCCTGATGCCAGTAGTTGGCTTTCTGTGCTTTGGGTGAGCAGACCCAGTTTTGGGGATTCTACAACAAAGCCTCCCACTAGTTTGGGGATGCTGTTCAGCAGCAGTAGTGTAGGTTACACTCTCACCAAGCACCCAGGTCTCTGTTGCCACCCACAGGAGCAACTCATGGGTGGCTATAACAATAATGTGAGGCTGTGAAAGGCAGGTATGGACTTACGTTGCTTCAACCACGACCCCAACTCCAGCAGGGTGCAGAGCTTCCGTGATGGCCACGGCAATCTGTTTGGTAAGGCGTTCTTGAACTGTGGGTAGGACAAGGAGTTCAGTGTTAGAATCTGACACAGGCATCTGGGAACTTTTCTCTTCCTAGAATATTTGATATTTCAGAAAGCAGACTTCTGTTGAGGTTGAGTAGCCAAGACATATCAGTTTTCGCCAGTTCTCTCTGGCTGCTGACCAGAAGCTATAAAGAGGCCTCACTTCAGCTCTCTCCCCTGGACTGAAGGGATCTCTGGAGCCTGTGGATGTATCCCCTCCCTAATCCCCAGCACCAAAGAGCAAGGAGGGTACAAGGACAACTGTGTCTCCCTGTGACTAAAGACCAATGGAATTTGAGGAGCAAGCATCCCTGGTGCTGGCACAGTGGCCCAGGAGCTTAAGCCCACTGTGGCATCTCACATGACAGCCAGTTCAAGTCTCAGCTGTTCCACTTCCAATCCAGCTTCTTGCTAATACACCTGGGAAGGCAGTGGAAGATAGCCCAAGCACTTGGGTCCTGGCTACCCACGAGGGAGATCCGTATGGAACTCTAGGTGTTATAATTAAGCTTGGCACAGAACTGGTCATTGCAGCCGTTTTAGGAGGGCATGAGTGGATAGCAGGTCTGTGTCACTATAACTCTGCCTTTCAAATAAGCAAATCTTTAAAAAAAATAAAAAGCTTGTAAACAATAACACCAATAAAGGTATAACAGTGTAACTCCTCAAGAAAATCAACAAGTTAAATGATCCTGTCCTTGTGCTAAATAAAATATTTCAGTTTGGCATACATACAAAAGAGTTTGGGGCCGGTGCTATGGCTCTATTGGCAAATCTCCCCCCCCTTTCTAGTGCCACCATCCTATTTGGGTGCCCGTGTGTGCCCCAACTGCTCCATTTCCCATCCAGCTCCCTGCTTATGGCCTGGGAAGGCAGCAGAAGATGGCTCAAGTCTTGGGACCCCTGCACCCACATGGGAGACCTAGAAGAAGCCCTTGGCTCCTGGCTTCAGATCAGCTCAGCTCTGGCCACTGTGGTCATTTGGCCAGTGAATGAACAGATGGAAGATCTTTCTGTCTCTCCTCTCTGTAAATCTTCCTTTCACATAACAATAAACCTTTTTAAAAAGAGAGTTTGCTGTGGCATTTCTTCTACCTGAAAACTGGCAAAGTCCTCAGATGCCTATTGGTATAGGTGCTGGCATGGGTTATAGAGCAGAATACAGCCATGGCACACATTTTGGAATCCCAAGTACTACCATGAATGTGAGGGAGATGACTAAGATTTTTAAGTGACAAGAAGTATAGGGAAAAGAGAGGGAGGCAAATCATGGTAATGTAGGCCTTATGAAATACAATAGAGCTAAACTGTTATTAAAACAGTCCTGGCATGATAAAGTAAATGACACACAGAGGCAATAGAGATTTCTCCTGCAGGCTTGAAACACAGAAGACCATCTTTCTTATCCTTCTATAAGGTCTTAACTTTTATAGGTCATATTCATCATGCTTCTAAGACAAATTCTTTCATAAGCAAAACACTCTCTATCAATGAAGATTTTAAAAGTTTACCTTGCAGTCTTCGACTGTAGATTTCCACAATCCTAAAAAAGAAAAAAGAATTGCTTTAGTGCATCACGATTAATTTGAAGACTCGGATTCTAACACAGAGGTTAAGACATTGCTTGGGATGCCAGCGCTCTGTATCAACGCGCCTAGGCTGGAGCTGGCTCTGTTTACAATTCCAGCTTCCTGCTAACGCACACCCTGGGAGGCAGCAGAGGCTGGCTCACGTGCAGGAGGGAAATCTGGGTGGAGCTGCTGGCTTGCCTCCTGGTATTGGCCTACCCCGCCCTGGCTGTTGCCGGCATTTGGGAAATGAACCAGATTGAGGGACTTCTGTCTTTCTCTGCCTTTCAAAAATAAAAACAAGGCTTTCAGGCAAAAGTAATATCTTCCTGATTTAAAGGTGGGAGCAGGGGTGGACCTTCACTGAAACAATAGCAGGGTGTGGGCAAGGGATAACGCTAATGGCAAGAGAAGGGAAGGGCAAGTCCCACAGGGAAGCGTGCCCTAAAGGACAACATTGGCCACCACACACAACGGTGTTTCCTAGGCAGAAAGAGAGAGGAGAAACACATTAAGGACTCTCCAAGTATAATGTCCACTTAGAAAAAACACAAAGATGAATGACAAAATTTTAAAGCTCCCAAGTCATCAATCTTAAAGCCAAGACCGATGTGTTCCCACTAATCATACTGTTTTTCCATAGCTTAAAGTTCAAGTTAAAAATAAAAAGCCTACAGGCCCGGCACGGTGGCACAGTGGTTAAAATCCTCACCTTGCATGCCCGGGATCTCATATGGTTCTAATCCCGGCAGCCCCTCTTCCCATCCAGCTCCCTGCCTGTGGCCTGGGAAAGCAGTCGAGGATGGCCCAAAGCTTTGGGAACCTACACCCGCGTGGGAGACCCGGAAGAGGTTCCTGGCTTCAGATCAGCATAGCATCAGCCATTGTGCTCACTTGGGGAGTGAATCATTGGATGGAAGATCTTCCTCTCTGTCTCTCTTCTCTGTATATCCGCCTTTCCAATAAAAATAAAATAAATCTTTTTTTAAAAAAAGCCTATTTGGGGCCCGGCACGGTGGCGCAAGTGGTTAAAGGTCCTCGCCTTGCACGCCCGGGATCCCATATGGGCGCCGGTTCTAATCCCGGCAGCCCCACTTCCCTTCCAGCTCCCTGCCTGTGGCCTGGGGAAGCAGTCGAGGACGGCCCAAGGCTTTGGGACCCTGCACCCGCGTGGGAGACCCGGAAGAGGCTCCTGGCTTCGGATTGGCATAGTATCGGCCCGTTGCGCTCACTTGGGGAGTGAATCATTGGACGGAAGATCTTCCTCTCTGTCTCTCCTCTCTGTATATCCGCCTTTCCAATGAAAAAATAATAAAAATAAATCTTTAAAAAAAAAGCCTATTTGTTAATTAATGAGAGGTCAACCATCCCATCAGCTCAATCTACTAGGATAATCAGATTAAACCTGATTAGACTCCTTCTGATGTCTCTTCTCTTTACAAGATGGGTTTATGTAAGCACTTGGCATGATTCACCTCCCCAGTATACACGCTTCCTTTGGGGTCCCAGACCACAATCTGTCAGCAGGCAGGTCTTCCCCCTCACGTCCCTCATTCGCCACGTGAAGACCACCATGTAGATTACCCACTTGAAGGTGACAATTCATGCTGAGGATCTTTTCTTAAAAAAAAAAAAATAGCCTTTCACCCTAAATTTGAACTCAGATTTGTTAAAAGATTTATTTACTAGAAAGACAAATTTACAGAGAGGCGATACAGAGATTTTCTGCTGGTTCACTCCCCAAGAGGCCCCAAAGGCTAGAACTGAGCCATCTGAAGCCTAGAGCCTCTCCCAGGTCTCCCACACAAGTGCAGGGTCCCAAGGCTTTGCCCATCCTCTGCTGCCTTTCAGGCCATAAGCAGGGAGCCAGATGGGAAATGCAGTAACCAGCACAAGAACTGGTGCCCATACGGGATCCTGGGTGTGCAAGGTGAGGATTTAGCCAGCTCGCATTTGACCTCGGTTTAAGGATCACTGCCACTAGGAGAATTTTACGGGTCTTCTCCCTCTCCCCAGTTCTGCCCCTCTGACAACTGGCTCCTTCTCATCCTTGTTGGAGCCAATAAGCCCAGCCACAGGTGCGCTGTCCTGCTCACTACTCAGCCAGACTCCCCAGAACACAGGAGCCATGCTGAGCCTTCAAGTCACAGGAGGAGTATGAAATCCAAAGGATGGAGCTACAGTCTTCTAAACAGAAATCTAAGAAAGGATGGTTTACATCCAGAGAGAAACTGTGTCACATTTCTTGCCAGGTCACATTTGTGCATGTATGCCTTCTGGTGGTTTTCAGGCGGTTAATGGGTTACCTAGGTATAAGTTACCAATGATGCACAAATTAGTGTCATCCTCCTTGTTGAATTCACCCTTTGTTCCTTGGGTAGAATTCCAGGTACAACATTAGACATCAGTAGTAGTATTGGGTACTCATGCTTTACTTCACATTTTGCTATGTGACTATTACCCATGGCACTTGCCAGTTTGCTGGCAGAGGGCTGCCACCTCACCAGGAGCTCATTCATACAGACTTTCACAGTATCTATATATTTACACTGAACATGTTCCTTCTGCTCACAGAGTATGTAATTCTCTTTTTTAAGATTTGTTTAATTTTTATTGGAAAGTCAGATATACAGAGACTAGCAGAGACAGAGAGGAAGATCTTCCATCCACTGATTCACTCCCCAAGTGGTCACAGTGGCCAGAGCTGAGCCAATCTGAAGCCAGGAGCCAGGAGTCGGGAGTCTCTTCTGGGTCTCCCACGTGGGTGCAGGGTCCCAAGGCTTTGGGCCATCCTCGACTGCTTTCCCAGGCCACAAGCAGGGAGCTGGATGGGAAGTGGCGCCACCGGGATTAGAACCGGTGCTCATATGGGATCCTGGAGCGTTCAAGGCGAGGACTTTAGCCGCTAGGCCACCGCACCGGGCCCAACTACTGTAATGTTTTAAAACTTCTTGATAGGAAGGCACAGCGCAATAGCCTAGTGACTAAAGTCCTTGCCTTGCAAATGCCAGGATCCCATATGGGCACCAGTTTAATCCCGGCAAGCCCCGCTTCCCATCCAGCTCTCTGCTTGTGGCCTGGAAAAGCAGCAGAGGATGGTCCAGAGTCTTGGAATTCTAGAAGATGCTCCCGTCTCCTGGCTTCGGATCAGATTGGCTTGGCTCCAGTTGTTGCAGCCACTTGGGGAGTGAACCAGCAAATAGAAGATCTTTGTCTCTCCTCTCTGTAAAAATCTGCCTTTCCAAAAAAAAAAAAAAAAGAAAAATGCAAATAAATCTTTAAAAAGAAAGAATACTATTTTTTATAAAAGAAGGGGAAAATGCTTCATCTATAAAATAAGGCCCACCTTACCTATCTCCTGGCCAGCCTTGCCTAAACTGATTCCCATCAGACACCTGTTCTCCTCTCTCTTATTTGCCTTCACTTTTACATTAACTACACCCAGAGAAGCTTCTCGTCCATTCAGAATTCCGCTCATGCCTCCATTCTGGGACCTCTTCAGCCCCACCACAGCACAGAGAGCCACTGCGGCTCCTCTCAAGCATGCTGCAAAGCTGGCATCTCCTGCCCTCTCACGTGCCCCCTCCTGCATGTCAAGTCACTGGTATGGTGTCTTTGCAGTAGGGCCTCAATTAGCACATTAACCACGCTACCCTCAAGGACTCCAGTGCTAAATTCAAGATTCAATCTGACACTCACCCGATGCTACTCTGGCTTTTTAGTCACAGAGTTTCTGTTCAAACTCAGTTTATTCTAGAATTCTACTAGAGCTGAACCTGATCAACTCCGTTGTGGCATTTTCTCGGTACTTACGGTTTATCATTTGATATTTGACTTCACTGGCACACCAAAAGGTCATTCATTTAAAGACAAGCATATAACAAACGTCCCGCATGCGATTAAAATGAGCAAAGGAAGTTTCACAAAGACAGTCAGCTCTCCTTATTACTATTTATTTCTTAAATACATGTATCCTTCTTAGAAGGGATAAGCAGCAAGACAAAATCTTAGTCTTTTCTGTTTCGGAGTCCCTTTAATCAGATGTTTAAGACATCTGAAAGTAACACGCAGGTAGTTCTTTGGTGCAGTGTTCCATTTTACTCTCGTATTTTAATCCGATTAGTGTTGAGGACAAATCCCCATGATCATAATCAACTTCTTTGTATTGTTTCATAAACGCTTCAATCCTTAGGATCCTTTCCTCTCACTGGGAAAGGAAATCATCAAGATTAATCCCTTCTCCCCTCAAACTATCATTGATTCCTTGATCTCATGGGATCATTCTGGAAGCCACCTCCCATTATGTGCGCATCACACCCACAAGTAGAATCTTCTGGAGAAGTCTGCTTCCATTCAGACCAAGACCTGAGGCATCTGCAGGCTTCTCTACAGGCTGGAAGGAGCAGCACTCACTACACCTTTCAGTGGACAGGCCACTACAGGCCTCAGTCGGGGACGGCACACACAGGGCGCTGGGCCGGCGTCCCTACGCACACAGCACAGCAATTTGCCTTAGCCTACAGAGTACATATGCTAAGAATGGCCAATTTCAATGCCGATACATTTGGTCACAGTGGAAGTGAGCTGAACTTCAATTTCTTTATCACCACATAAGAGAATAAGTCAGTGGACACAAAGTTGCTTACAGAGATTAAAGTGAAACAAATTACTCCCACTCACTCCACCAACATCCACTCTTTCCAGGCAGACTTTGTGCCACCAGTGGGCACAGCTCCTATTGTGAGAAGCCTGGCTGGTCCGGATTTATGCCGAGAGCTCCACTGCAATGCACTGATGTCAGAAATAGGGATGTTGGCACTGGTGCCACAGTGTAACAGCTCAAAGCCACCACATGCTATACCAGCAACTCACATGGGAGCCAGGTCAAGTCTAGGCTTCTCCACCTCCAATCCAGCTCCCTGTTCATTCGCTTGGGGAAGCAGCAGAGAATAGTTCAAGTCCTTGGGTCCCTGACCCAATTGGAAGACCCAGAACAAGCTCCTAGCTCCTGGCTTAAGCCTGGTGCAACCCAGGCTACTGTGATCATTTGAGGAGTAAATCAATGGATGGACAATCTTTCTGTCTCTCCTTTCTTCTCTCTCTCTCTCTCTCTCTCTCTCTCTCTCTCGCGCTCTTTACCTTTCGAAAAAATAAGGGTATCATTAAAAAAGAAAAGAAAAGAAAGAAGACCTGCACAGCATAGTACACTAAGCCTCTGCTTGTGGTGCTGGCATCCCATAGAGGCCCTGGTTCACGTGCTGGCTGCTCTACTTTCCATCCAGCTCCCTGTTTATGGTCTGGGAAAACAGTGGAGGATGGCTCAAGTCTGTGGCACCCACATGGGAGACCTGGAAGAAAATCCTGGCTTCTGCCTTTGCATCAGCTCGGCCCAGGCTATTATAGCCATTTGAGGAATGAACCAGCAGATGGAAGATCTCTCTCTTGCTATCTGTAACTCTGTCTTTCAATAAATAAATAAATACTTAAAGTAAGTAAAGGCTTTTTTCTACATTTTTCCTACATACTTTCTCTTCAGTTTCCAGGCAGTAAGTGAGCACCTGGATGAAAGCAAAGGTCCAGCTGTGGAGGGCAACACTCAGCTTGCTGCGGTGACAGGTAGCAATCCCAGCACAGAATTGAAGAGTGTGCTTCTGTGGCAAGGCCCCGGGGGACCCCAACCAGAGTCAAAGAGACACCGAAGGACACCAGAGTTACAAAGCCGTCACCCAGGGTTTCCCATGTCTACTCCAAGACATTGCAACAACCACAGAAGAAGGCGACTGGGGGCAATCAAATACAGGTGTCCGGGGTCCATCAGTGATGTGTACCCACCTAACATTCACACTGAGCTAAGCCCCATGGGCACTACTTCATCCCCATGAAATCCACATTAAAAATCAAGAAGACAGAAGCAAGCAAGAGTGAGACAGGTCCAGAGGAAGGCAGTGGTGAGGCTGCGGCCTCACACGGCAGCTTGGCAGAAAACTGACAACACTGCCATGCAGTGGGACTCCACCCCCAGGTCCTCTTCCACTGTCACTGTGTGCTAAGGCCCCCTGTCCCTCAGAGAATGCGGCTGGACTGAAGGAAGGAAAGATGTGAGGTGCGATTGCTCAGATGTGTGAGGGGAAGAGGAGCAGGGTGGGGCAGGGAGGGCATGGTGGTACAAGGAGAGCAGCCTTGGAGCTTCAGGCCTGCTGGGTGTGTCCTCCCCTGTGACTGTCAAGTTGACTTGCCACCTGAATTCCGACTTGAAGCCATGCTTGTGGAACAGGAAGGAGTGATGAGATGATCAGTGTTCATGCAGGTCTTCTCCACCTGCGTTTCTTGTCCATCACCCAGTCATCCTTACCTGGCAAGCTTGCTAAGGCCGAGGACTTGCTTGTTAGGAAGATAACCGATATGAACCTTCAGAGAAAAAGACAGCATTTGTGAGCTGAGGATAAATACAGTGCCTCTTTGCAATAAAAAAATGAAACAGGGGGAATACAGTGTAACTTACATCTCATGCATCACAATGACAGTGCATGTCTCAAACATCTGGAGGCCTCCGATTTAAGACAATGAGGCATTTCCGTAAGTAATTTAAAATTACACGAACACAGTAAAAGAAAAACATGAAATAATTAGTCTATTAATCACATGACAAATTTGGAATCCCTGTGGCCTCTTCTGGCGAAATTAAATACTGGAGAAATATCTGAACGACTGTGTGTACATACAGAGTCAAGGCAGACGACTGACAGCAAAAACAAGAGCAAGGGTCAGTGTTGTGGAATAGTGGCTAAACCCACCATCTGTCCACTAGCAACCTATATGGTCACAGCAGTTAAGAGTCCCAGCTACCCCACTTCTTATCCAGCTTCCTGTTCAAGGACTGAGAAAAGCAACAGAGGATGTTCCAAGCGTTTGGTTCGCTTCTACCGATGTGGGAGATGTGGAAAAAGCTCCTGCCTCCCAATTTCAGACTGCCCCAGTTCTGGCTGCTGCAGCCACCTGATGTATAAGCTGATAGATAGAAGATCTCTCCCTATTCTCCCTCTTCCTCTATGTCTCTCCCAAGATTTCCGACAAGTAAATAAAGCATAAAAAAAATACAACCACTACAAACATCTCTATTGGTTCTGTGTGAAAAATTAAAGAGGTGCAATTGTTGTGCAGGGTGAGCATCAAAGCTGTTGCCCCCGCTCAGCTGCACAGAACAAAGCATTCCAATGGAAATGTGAAGCAAGGGGAATAAAGATCCTGCAATATTTCTTATTTTTTTAAGATTTGTTTATTTTTATTGGGAAGGCAGATTTATAGAGAGAAGGAGAGACAGCGAGAAAGATCTTCCATCTGCTGGTTCAATCCTCAATAACTGAACTGAAGGCAGCAGCCAGGAGCTTCTTCTGGGTCTCACATGTAGATGCAGGATCCCAATGCTTTGGGCCTTCCTCCACTGCTTCTGACCATCCTCCACTGCTTTCCCAGGTCATAAACAAGAAATGGAACAGTTGGAGCCTGGCGTGGTGGTCTAGCGGCTAAAGTCCTTGCCTTGAATGCGCTGGGATCCCATATGAACACTGGTTCTAATCCCGGCAGCTCCACTTCCCATCCAGCTCCCTGCTTGTGGCCTGGGAAAGCAGTCGAGGATGATCTAAAGCCTTGGAACCCTGCACCCATGTGGGAGACCTGGAGGAAGCTCCTGGCTCCTGACATCAGATCATCGCAGCACTGGCTGTTGTGATCACTTGGAGAGTGAATCATGGGACAGAAGATCTTCCTCTCTGAGTCTCCTCCTCTCTGTATGTCTGACTTTGCAATAGAAATAAAGAAATCTTTAAAAGAAATGGAACAGATGGAAAACAAACTGGGGAACAAATGGGATGGTACTTTAAGGCAGAGGATTTTCAGGTGAGCCATCGCACCAGCCTCACACCATCTCTTGGAGATGTGACAGGAGACCAGAGTGTGATTGTAAAGACAAAACACACTCCAACCATGTAAGTCCAACCGCAACAAGAGCAAAAGGATCAACAGCAAAGGTTACAGCCACAGGTGCAAAAGCCCTTCAGGGCATTGCCGAGAGCCCAAGAACAGTTGTGAGAAATCCAGCCCAAAGCGGAAGCAGAACAACCTGGGAAGTTCACTAGAGAGCCCCGCTCCTCACAACTACACACCTACTTGCTCCTCCCTGTGGAAGCTTTGGATGGAAAGCCATTTAGCATTCACTTTACAGGCCCGGTGTAGCTCCTTCTGGCTTAATTTTGCTTCATCTTACAACAGCCTTGAGGGAGGGCACTCATTTTTCTCCAGCTAATAAAAAAAGAGCTGCATTGACATGGATCCCAGGCCTTCAAGGACGGACTAAATGGTTCATTTGGATGCTTACAAAAAGGTATTGGGCCCAGGGGAGCTTGTGCTAAGAACTAAAGCTTGTGTCTTTTTGTCAACTTTTCAGTCCGCTTTTCCATCAACTTTGGAAAGCCGCCTCCTTTAACCAGAGTGCCAGGCAATGACTTCAAAAAAGCCAGCAACGAGGAAGGCAAGAAACCAAGCACAGAAGAGCACACAAAGTAGATTTGCCTTAACCAACACACAGCTGAAAAGCAAAGCCAATCTTGCTGAAGGTCGAGGGATGAGTTAGGGTTTAATAATGTGATAATCACACTCTAAGTCTTGATCTGTAGGGTGTTGAGGATGTGTGCCTGCTTCAAATTTGGGTTTCTTTATACATTTGAAAATCCTTTATCAGAAAAAATGCTAACATCAGATTAGATGGACTGTAGGCATTCATAACACTATTTCTTATAATTCTGTTTGAAAATCACTTATAAAAAGTCCAAACAAAATGACAGCGGGAATAGTATGAGAAACAGTTCCTATGCCGGGGCCATTTGGACATCCATGTCATCATATGAGGGCCATGCAGAAACATCAACTTAAAAGTCAGCCTGGGGGCCCGGCACAATAGTGTAGCGGTTAAAGTCCCCGCCTTGCACATGCTGGGATCCCATATGGGCGCAAGTTCTACTACTGGCAGGCCCACCTCCCATCCAACTCTCTGCTTTGACCTGGGAAAGCAGTCGAGGATGGCCCAAGGCTTTGGGACCCTGCACATGCGTGGGAGACCCAGAAAAGGCTGCAGGTTCCTGGCTTCGGATTGGTTCAGCTCCAGCTGTTGCAGCCAGTTAGGAAGTGAATCATCGGATGGAAGATCTTCCTCTCTGTCTCTCCTCCTCTGTATATCTGACTTTCCAATAAAAATAAATAAATCTTTAAAATAAAAATAAAAGCCTGCTGTGGATTTATAGAATTTTAAGTGCTATCTATGGCTGTCTTGGCATAGTCAATCCTCTCCCAACCCTAACTCTACATACTCTCATAAATGTGGGTTGAGGCAGATTCATTTTTCCTACCAGGGGCTGGAAGGAAATCAAATCCACTGATATCATAACCTCTGTCACAACAAATTCCACTATCATCACTGCTCACGTCACACCATACACAATACATAGATCCTTGCACCAAATATTACTTGGTCACAATAAAGGGCAAAGATTTTCAGAGCCTGCAGTTACCTTTAAAAGGACACAATTTTAACCTATTATCCTAACCTATTAACTTGATATTTAACATAAAGTCTTGCCTCTGAAGTTTATCTGTTTTATTTTTTTTTTTAATTTAAGTGACCAGATCAGCTAGGATGATAGAATAAATATTTTTGCATTAGCTGTGAGTACCTGGGATATTGGGTGACAATTTTCATCATCACAATTGGAAGACTCTCACTATGCTTTTAAAAATTAAGAAACAACAACAACAAGAAAAAACCTTACCTTTCCAACAAATGGAACCAGATGATGTTCACACATGGAAAACATATCGATGTCCTTCACAATCACCATCTCATCATGGTCTTCATCAAAGATAGCATCGTTCAGGACATCTGAAACCAGAGGCTTGCTTTAGCCACAGTCTTACAGAATAATCCAGAACACAAGAGCTACTAGGGGTAAAAATGAATAGATGGGCAACAGGGAAAGAATCTTCACAAAACTAGGATACAGACATCAAAGCAAGTTATTTTTCCCTATCAAAGTAGCAGTGTTTTCCTTTAGGTACCATCAGAAAAAAAAACAAAAACAAAAACAAAAACAAACAATACCTCTTGATAAAACAAAACAAAACAAAATGCAGGATTACAAATACACCTGCAGGGCCCGGTGCGATGGCGCAGTGGTTAAGGTCCTCGCCTTGCACGCCCGGGATCCCATATGGGCGCTGGTTCTATCCCGGCAGCCCCGCTTCCCTTCCAGCTCCCTGACTGTGGCCCGGGAAAGCAGCAGAGGACGGCCCAAAGCTTTGGGACCCTGCACCCGCGTGGGAGACCCTGAAGAGGCTCCTGGCTTCGGATCGGCATAGTATCGGCCGTTGTGCTCACTTGGGGAGTGAATCATCAGACGGAAGATCCTCCTCTCTGTCTCTCCTCTCTGTATATCCGCCTTTCCAATAAAAAATAATAAAATATTTGGAGATCTTCCTAATCTAAATGCTGGACTCAGAACCCTAACGAAGAAAAGAGAGAAGACAGAACAGGTCAACCAACCATCTCAGCTATGATGGACTATGTCATTCAGTGGATTTTTCAAAGCCCTCATAGTGCTTGGAGTGGCAAGATTGACAGCAATTCATAACTGTTGCAATATCAAAACCACTTGAGCAAGAACCTCAGAGCATGCCCTACATCCGGGACCTGGGGAGGGTGGGAAATTGGGGGGCCTTCTCCCTTAAATACCCCCCTTTAAACATGAAGGTAACAATATGGAAAACATACTAGTATTATCCACTTTCCTGTAGCCCTTGACCCTTCTTACCCTAATTAACTATGTAAAGAATGTCAAAATAAAATTTTATAAAAATTAAAAAAAAACTATTAAAAAATTAAAAGAAAAAAAAACAAATACACCTGCAGGAGGAATGCAAGGAGAGAGGGAGGGAAGAATTCTGACAAAATGAATCTGGGTTCTTCTGGTGGCAGGAATGCGTCACCTTCTTCCTGAGGGTTCCTTATCCTCAGTGTTTCTCTGTGATGGATAAGCAGACACTGTATGTGAGGAAAAAGATTCATCCTTGGCCCTCTGACTTCTGCAGCAGATCCAGGCACCTGCAACCTGGACCTCTATTTTCAATTCCCCCAAATAATTTTTGACATACAGGAAGTCATTTTGCAAGTGTCAAGTTACCCTTCTGGGGAAATAATCCCACCAGCTGCCCACTGTGGAGGCTTCGGGGACGAAGCAGAATATTATCTTGTTTAAAGTGTGGAAACTGGGTCAGGGGGCTTAAGCTACCTTTGACAGTTAAAACCAAACAGCATTTCTTTTAACTGGATTGAGTGAGATTCAGCTATCTCATGGGCAAGCTGGGTCAACCAAGCCAACTAGACAGAGCCTGAGGGAACTGCTACGGCCACATCCTAGCCCAGAAGCTAAGGAGGGAGGGAAGGAAACACACTACTGTCCTCGTGGTCGCCTGAGAATCCTGGGCTGGACACCAAGAGTTCCCAGAGGATATCACAGTGACCGCCTTGTGTCCTGGGAAAGTGCAGTTCTATTGTCACACACACACACAGAGAAGCACAGTACGAGCTCTCTTTTGTAAAACAGAAACATAAGGAGTGAACACCTGTACCAATTTCTGCACAGCTGGTAGGTGGAATGCATCAGGATGATATGATTTCCTAGGACCAGAAAACATGTCACCTCCACACTCTGATTAGGCATAGACAGGGTGAGCTCGGCAGCTTCCCGTTCATCCCTCCCCTCGAAGGCAGACTGCTGAGTGACTTACAGGGAAATAGACAAGAACCTGCCCACACTACTGACCTTCAGTGGCTGGCCTGTCACTCCAACCCAGGCTCACGGCTCCTGACTCATTGCATCCACCACAGTGGCCAGCCCCAAGGCAGACTATTCTGAGGCACGCCGGGCTGTGATGTGGGCAGGTCATGAGTGTGCTTGGCAGAATGGTCCCCAAAGGGTTTATTTAGACATGCACCGGCAGCCACTGCCACCAGCCCATCCAAAAGCAGTTCAGAGAACAAGGGAGAGAAAAACCTCAACATCCTTCTTGAAGGAGAGAGACCTTCTCCCAAAGCAGGTTTGTACTGTGAAGGCTCTGCCCCAGAAAGTCCAAAAGAGACCCTTCGGGTTGCTCAACCTTGCATGGGTTTCCCCAAGATCTCAATAGAGCATTATTGCCATACACGACTTCACTGAAAGCTTTAGTCACACAAGACACCATCATCAAGGTGAAGCCAAGCAGAAAATGTTTCTTAAAGTACAACAGAGAATTACCCAACATTGGAAGGATTCCTTTTCTCTTGCAGAGCTCATCCTCATCCTAAGCTCTTATGACAAAAACTACAAGGCACATGTTAAAATTCAGCCCTCATCATGGTGTGGCACAATGAGTTAAACCGCAGCTTGGGGCTCCTGTCCCACGTCTTCTACTTCTAAGCCATGCAGCTAGAATGGCAGTGGAACTCGGCCCAAGTCCGTGGGTCCCTGCCATCCAAGAGGAGGAGAGGGATGCAGTTCCTAGTTCCTGGGTTTAACCAGGCTCAGATTTGGCTATTGAAGCCACTCAGGGATTGAACCAGTGAATCAAAGAACTTTTTCTCTCCTTCTTGATCTGCCTTCGAATTAAAAAAAAAATCCCAAAATGAGGGGCTGGTATCTCAACATAGCAAGCTAAGCCTCTGCCTGCAACACCAGCATCCCACACGGGTGCTGGTTCGTGTCCTGGTTGCTCCACTTCCCATCAGCTCCCTGCTCGTGGCCCAAGAAAGCAGTAGAGGATGGCTCAAGTGCTTGGACCTCTTCAACCGCATAGGAGAGCTGGAAGAAGCTCCTGGCTCCTGATTTCAGATCAGCCCAGCTCTGGCCAAATTGATCATTTGGAGAGTGAACCTGCAGATGAAGCATCTTTCTCTCTCCCTCTCTGTGTCTCTGTAACTCTGCTTTCAAATAAAAAACGAATGATAAATAAAATCTAAAACGATTACCTATAAAGAACTGCGAGAAAAAAGCAACTCAGATGGAAGACATCTTTGACTGTATCTTACAATAAAGTTATGACTGAAATCGTGCTGTTTTTACTACTTAAAATTAAACCCAGAAACAAAAAGCCAGTAATCCCATATAGCCTAATGCCCCCTGTGACAATGGAACACAAAGGCACAGTCTGACTTGCATTTCATTAAGAGGAACTAAGACTACTAAGGTGACCCAGCCACATCATTTGCTGTCAATAATGAAGCTTCCCAGCTGTATTTACTGGTGTTTTGCTCCTACATATTTGACCGCTGCTGTCTGCGGAGATGAAGAAGAAAACACTATCACAGATTGTTTTAATTTCCTGTCTGTTATCAGCAGCAGGAAGGTAACCGTGGAGACGAGGGTTGGCGGCATTCTGTCTGCCCCCTTGGGCGGTCTCCACCAGGGGAGCCGACGTAGCCACAGCCCGGAGGAGGCAAGGGTCTGTCTTCAGGGTGCGTCACACAGGGGCAGCCTGGAAGCAGACCTTTCTCGTGAGCAGTGACAGCAAGTCACAGTGCCAGGCAGACATCAGACCTGTTCCCGAAAGACAGGGTCCTCTCCCGGGGTGATGTTGGGGGCCTATTTAAGCATCCTCTAAAGCAAGACAGGAGGTGGGCGGATGGGGTGCGGGATGGAGGACTGTTCAAGTAGTACAAGTGGCTGGGCTCCACCCGCAGGAGCCCATGTGTCAGCTGGTCTGGATGGGCCTCTGAATACACATTTCTAGCAATTTCTTAGATGACAGTGACGATCCTGGTCTTGGCTAGCCCATCTAGAGGTGTGCTCTATTTTGGCTGTGCTGCAGACTCATCCCACCTGCAGGTCGCAGACACTCAAACTTACAGACCTGTGTTGAAGGACAAACATACATCCTGTGTCTGATAGAGAGAAGGGCGTGGAAGAGGCGACAGGCCACTCTCCAGGAGAGATTCCTCCCCAGAAGAACTGTGTTATCTAACAATGTTCCTTTGCAGTGAGCAGTATGGGAGTCAATACTACTTAGGACATTTGACGATCAGCAGGAACTTTGTGGAGGGCTCTGAGAAAGCCAGAATTGGTCACCTGACACATCTTTCTAGGAAGATAGGGTTGAACCACGGAAAAAGACTTGGAGGTGGTGTAGCCATCCTGGGGACAGAAGAGAGAAAACAGAGTCTGCTTACTGGTTTTAAGATTAAGAGAGGAGAGACATAGAGACGCACCTAAGGCATCGGAACTAAGCTAGAATTAAATTAACTGAAGCTGTCAAGCCTACCCTGACCTGGCAAAGCTGGTTACCAACCCAAACCCTCAGTGCACATTCCAGCACCAGAGCGGCCTCTATCAGCATAAAGCACTTGTCCCATCATAATTCTTATTACCAATGTTATTTGTGCTCATGTCTCCCATCTCCACCGTGTTATGAATTACCACGGGGTGAGCCCTATATCTTAAGACTTCAGAGTTCCCACACTGTGCTCCCCACAACACCATACCCAAAGCCAAGCTAAACACAGATCTATGGTTAGCTAATTCACATGTCCATCTTTATTATGATTCACTTTGCTAAAATAGATGTTAAATTGAAGGGACTCCAGCTAAGCTCATGAAACCAAGAGAACATAAAATTTTTCACTACAGCTCTTCTGGAAATAGCAAAATTTGATCATTTAATTGTTAGTTAAGAGAAGGATTACAGGGCCCGGCGGCATGGCCTAGCAGCTAAAGTCCTCGCCTTAAACGCCCCGGGATCCCATATGGGCATCGGTTCTAATCCCAGCAGCTCCACTTCCCATCCAGCTCCCTGCTTGTGGCCTGGGAAAGCAGTCGAGGATGGCCCAAAGCCTTGGGACCCTGCACCCATGTG